TTTAGATCACACTCGAGCTGCCGGGCAAATTCATTATCATTCGAGAAACTCCAGCGCGCATGCTCCCAGCGTCACGTGACTTCCGCTGTCGTAACAATAAGTTTATTAAGTACGGTTTATATGCGATAAAGAGAAAAATTAACACCATAACTATACGTTTTTTGCTTTAGTTTAATTAGGGCTCAACTTCATCCTACTTAATGCTATCAGTAAATAAAATTATAGTGCTATTCTACGCCCTAACGTTAGACCTTTTTAGAAACTTTGATAATCTTTTGATATCTTGTTGTGCGAAATGTCTACTAAAGTATACTTACATCCACTTTTTTCATTTACATCTGTTGAATTTAATACGTGCACACACATGTGCATTTAGATGGTAGGGTGAGTATGCATTTACAGGACCGACAAAAGTTTAGTATTATTATAATAGATATTTAAGGCTGAGAGTACAAATCTGGTATTTGATATTGTCATACTTATCGGCATGTTATATGACACATGGGTTTGAGGACCAGCTCAGAGACATCTATGGTTCAAGCATAGCCATTCCTATTTTAAAACCACTAACGAGAGGTAAAATCTGGGAATCGATTCCTTTTGGTTGACAGAGCCCATACAGCCTATTTTTAGGTTTGCGCTAAAAATAATCAAACAAATAAACAAGCTGACCGACCAGATGGAGGTTGACCAATCAGCATCATCCACTACCTACGCAGCTAACCTTAATGGATGCAATTGACCCCGCCCAGATCTGCAAAAATCTAAATCTCGGTGCCGACAAGAGTTATAACGATTTCCCCCTCTCTCACCTCTCTCTTCCGCAGTTGAAAATACGAAGTATGTTTAACAGCCTAACGCGTCTTGAACCTTGGAGTTGTCGACACGTAGCCCATTACGCTAACCATTAGGCAACGCTCAATTCTTGGATAATTGTTGTTTTGTTTGTAAGTCATTTCTCTTTTTGTTAAATCTCTCAGAGTCCCCTGAACAGAAAGCTGTACATTTACGGACTTACAACGTTAAAATCTGGGTATGATTCCACGTGGTGGACACAGCAGATAGCCCAATGTAGTTTTGCTCTAAATAAACAAACAAGTAATCTCTCAGCGAACTTTTATATAGTCTCAATTTAATTAGGTGAATTCATTCATCAAATGTAAATAATAAATCACTTTTTGATGCAATTTACTAGAAAAGCAATAGACGTTACAAGTTATCCAATATTTTCCCACAGTAGGTTTTTTATGTAATAGAAAGTATAATTAAGGAGTTCGGGTTGATCTATTATGGAAATGTTAAGTATCTTTGGCACATAACCATTTAGAGTGTTAATCAGGATGGATTGTGTAAATATATGTATGTGTGTTTGCTGTTAAGCACAAAGCTACACGATGGGCTATCTGTGATGTGTCTATCATGGGTATCAAAACGCGGTTTCTGGCGTTATAAGTCTGCAGATTTGCCGCTGTGCCACTTAGGTCGTCTAAAGGTACGACAAACATCTGTTCTTCTACGTATTTTATACTCTTAAGGCATCGTCGGCACATAACCATTTAAAATGTTAATCAAGATGGATTGTTTAAATGTATGACAAACGTGTGTTCTTCAACGTTTTTTATATTATTATATTCGATTGTCTCTACTATCCACTTTATACCCTCAAAAAGATATTCCAACAGCTAAGTATAAAGTATAACTTTAAAGATAAAAAACACCTAAGACGGATATGTGCATAAAAACGGAGAGTAATTTTGATCCTGCTGATTCACTATAGCAGTAGTCTGCCAATATGATAGTGATAATGTCAACTCTTAAGTTGCAAAATATACAACTGGCCAGAACTGACTTAGTAAGCATATTTATATTTTACCTCTGTGGTTTTAAAGAGCTAAGCACTATCGTTAGTGTGATCGAACTGTCTCTCTTTATTTAGCTGTTAGTTACTTTCTTAAGGTTATTATTATCATATATATATATATATATATATATATATTACTGTAATAAACACGTCTATAACAGTCCCTTGGTATCATATATATCACTGACTCTTGAAACACTTACGTTTCGAACAAACTATGATTCTCAATACCATAAGCTCAATAACTATTGTTACGACAGCGGAAGTCACGTGACTTTGGAAGCATGTGCGCTGGAGTTTCTAGAAGGATCATGACTGTTCCTGGCAACTCTAGTCTTTTCTAGGCGCCCTCTATTTTAGTATATAAGCCCGGCAAATAAAGCGGAGATATGATTGCAGATAGACAGATACAGAGATAGATAATTCGAGATAAGCGAGCAGTAGGCACCGTAAGTAAACTGTGAATCGCTGTGAATTATAGCGTGTGTTTAAGCTAAAGTGACTGTGGAAATTAAGTGTATTGCAAAGTTGTATTGAGAAAGAATTAACCAGTTTTATTTAAGAAAGGACTTGTATCGCTGAAGTTCTTCGGAAAGAATTTTTACGGTAAATTAACAAACGAACACAGACGTAACAAATTTATAAAAACTTCAGCGTATGAAGGTACTCAGGAAATAAACAAATATAATGTATAAAAGTTCCTTCAAGGAATCTCTATAAAAACAAGAAAGACAACAACAACAAAAGAAAAAATTAGTAAATAAATTCACATAAATAATAACATATAACAGAACATTCTAGATTAGTGCGTGTCAAATACTAATAAGAAATGTAGTGGTTGAGGTTTCTGTGAATTTATCTAGTAAATGACGCAAGCAATGAGAGAAAGGTTACATTGTCACATAGGTTTTTGCAAAACATCATAGCCCTTAACATATTACAACTTGTAATTTTTTATTAGTAATTTTAGACGTAAATATTAGGTACCACTTATGTAAGTTAACTTTCAGTTTCAGGAAAGGCTTTTGCACCTTTAGGTTTACTAAATGTGCGTATTAGTGACAATCGATCAGCGCCCGGCATGGCCAGGTGGTTAGGGCGCTCGACTCGCAATCTGGGGGTTGCGGGTTCGACCAAAC